CTGGGTAATCGTGTTTGCACAATTGTTTTAATATTTCTGTGCATTTTCTCCTAATTTTACACAAATAGTCAGATTGTCTCTGGGATTATGCCCATAATCATGGGTAAGTGCATAATTAAAAGACATCTGTGAAAGGCTGAAAATAGATTGTGAAGATTTGCCAAATAGAGAAGATATAATTGAGAATTTTGTAACATGGTTTAACTCTGCAGAAACAGAACTATCCCCTCCTACCAAAACAGGAAAGTCCATTGCTTGGCTGTTTCCAGCATTCCCCTTTGACTGTGCTTTTCCGGGAAGGCTTTATATATGAAACTAGGACTGGTTGAATGCCTCCCCGTCCTATAGGTAAGGAGACTGAGACTCAGAGAGATTCAGTGATTTGCCCAATTTCACACAGCCAATGCATAGCTTGCTTTTGAGTACAGGTTCCTTGGACCACCCACTCACCCATGCTGGACCAGGGAGGAAGCAGAAGACTGTCAGAGTCTCTGCCCAAAATTCCAGGGTGGCACTCACCCCAGATCTCCTCACCCCAGCAGCTCCACCAGAGGATTCTCCTCTGTAAGAGAGGGCTTTGGAGGAAGGAAGTAGCAGCCCCCACAGAGGAGAGGATAGAGTATCTGAACCTGAACCTAAACTGTGGGCAAGGGGGTTGGAGGCCCAGGCAAGGCCACTCATGCGCCTGCTTTGGACAGCGAGCTCGGAGCAGTATTAGGGCAGAGAGCACCCTCCAGCCACCTTCAGTGAGACTTCAGCAAGCCACCTCACCATTCTATCTTCAGCTATAAAATGAGGATAATTAACCTATTGATGCTATCTTGACTATCAAATGATATCCGTTAAATGCTTTTTGACCTGTGAAATGCTAGGCAACTGTAAGTAAAGGATGCCTAGTTTCTCTATTTTTAGTTGCTGCCTCCACCACATCCCCTATTAGGCTGGGGCTGTCTTTCAGGCTTTGAGTATCTTCCCTGGGGCCCACATTGACCTCCCTGCTCTGGTCAGAGTCTGCATGGGGTCCAATCCAATCAACAGAGAGAGGTCAGGAAAAGACCGAAGCTCAGGCAGTCCTGGCCTGTCTTTCAGTGGCCATTCTCAAGAACTGGGGCTGGCCCTGGCTCCAGACCATATGCTCCCTTTGTTGCTAGGCAAATCATTCACATTCTCTTTTTACTTCTCTGCTTGTAACAATGATATTTTACTAGTAAAGAATTCAATAAAATGATCAGAAAGAAGGTCAAAGTCACACAAAGTCCTATTACCTGAGATAAACAATATGAACAGTTTAGGAAATATCTTTTTGGGTCACTGCTTTGCGTTAACACCCACCCACACACCTACGATTTTTTTTACTTGCTTTTTTTTTTTTACCTCTACCTCTTTTTTCTGTCTCTACCTCCTCTACCAATAACCAAAGTTATCAGTGTTCATCCTCCCAAACCTCACTCCATGTAATATAAAAACATGCGCAATACCTATATAAGAGGTTTATTTTCTCATTCTTAGGTATTTCTAAATATGGGGTAACCTCGGGCACTTCTCTTCTTGATTTTCTCGCATAACAGTACCTCGTAGTAAATCCTCTTAGCCTCACTGATCTAGCACTTTCTTTTAAATAGTTACATAATATTTTACAGATTTTTAGAGTGCAGATTTATTCAACAATTCTCCAACTGGTGAGCAATTACAAAGCTTTTTTTGTATTTTGGTTTTTTTACTGTTACAACTTAGTTGTAATTAACATTTTGGTATCTCATATATTCTTATGTAATGATGTCTATTACTCTGTGGATTCTCAGAAGCGGGATTATTAATCAAGAGATATGCATATTTTTTAATTTTAATAGAACTTGAAAGATTGCTTTCTAAAAGGTCATTAATATTTCATGTTTTATTGTTCAATAATTATTTATTCAGCTTTTACACCATGCTAAGCTCTGTTTTAGCAATATAGATTCAACAATGAATAAAGCAAAGATCTCAAACATCATGGAGGTTTCATCCTAGAAATGGAGTAGGGAAGAACAGATGAAATAACAATAACTTTAATAAATACTTTTATACCAAAAATGCAGGAAAACAGTTTTTCCTTGCTTTACTATCAACAATTATTATTATCTTTTCTTTCTTTTTTTTCCCCAATTTATTGATATAATGCGATATTTTATTGTTATCTTAACTTGGATTTTCCGATTGGTAGTTTTCGCATTTTACACATTTATTTAGCTATTTGGATTTGTATTGGCTAAACAATCTATTTATAATCTTCATGCATTTTTCTATTGAGTGGATTGTATGCTAGACCCATATTGTCAGTGTTCATGAGCTCTGTGTATATTATAAATAGACATTTATCTGACATATGCTTTGCAAATCTTTTCCTCAATCTATTGCTTATCTACTGACTTCAAGACGGATTATTTTACCATGTAATACCTTTAACATTTATGAATTTGTCTTTTTGTTATGATTGTGTCTTTTTGTCCTCTCTTAGCTTCTGGCTAGTCTTTGTCAATTCTTATCTCCAAATTCTGGGCCATATGTATTGTCTCTTAAATTTTCTCTCAATTAATTTTTTATTTTTTATATTTTTCTTCAATACACCTGGAGTTTATCTTTTAATATGGTGTAAGGTATGGGACCAATTGTATTTTATTCTAGGCAGATAGCTGTTTTCCCAATACCATTTATTAAAATAAACCCTCAATTCTCTACTGAATTAAAATGCCACCTTTTATATATATGCCGTTCTCACATGTGTTGAAATCTGTTTGCATGCTTATTGTTCTGCTCCGTTGTCTATAGGTCTATTGTTATTCCAATTTCATGCTTTTTTTTTTTTAATTTCATGCTTTTTTTATTAGTCTTCTTTTTCTTAATTTTAAAAGTTAGGTTAAAACTTTAGTCATAGGAACCTTCAGATAATTTTATCCGATTAAAAATTGTAATTATTATTGAAAGGACATTCAATTTATGTTAAGAAAAAGAAAAAGATGTAATCAAAAATAGAAGAGATTAAAATAATTATAAGAATGCTACATAGAACTTAATGGCAAAAAATTAGAAAAGGTGGAAGAAATCAAAGATCTCCTATAAAATCATATAAATCATCAACATGGTGTAAAAAAGAAAAAAAAATGGGAACAGACAAAAACAGGATGTGTCTGAACAAGTTCCAGTAGAAGTTGAAAATATATTTAAAGACCTATTTAAAAGAACCCCGGAGACAGATGATTTGCCAGCTGAGTTCTAACTAGCCTTTAAAGAACAGATAGTCACAATATTATTAAACTATTTGAGACCATAGGCAAAAAGAAAGAGAACTCCCCAATATGTGTGATAATGCCTCACAGACAAATCCCACTTGGGAATACAGATTCTCATTCAAAATAAAATATTAGCTAATAGGACCCATCCACACATCAAAAAGACTAACTCACTATAATCAAATAGCTTTTATTACAAAATGAAAGGATGTCTTGATGCCAGAAAAATTATCAGCATAGTTCATTAATCAACAAATTAAAGCTATCATATGAATAGAGACTAAATAGGCACCTGATAAAATTCAGTAGCTATTCCTAATAAAAATGCATAATTCCTTATCTGAAATTCTGAAACCCAGAAATCTCTGAAAACTGGAACTAAAACTTTGTCACTGTATTTCATCTTATGTTAAAGCTGACCTGAACGGACATAAGATATTTAAATACAGAGAGTGTTATTCTTTCCAAATGTACAGGATTATATGTTCTGTATGGAAAGCATATTAAAAAAAGTATAGGTTATTTGTTGCTATGGCTCTCTATCCTATATTAAAAATTATTAGTTTTTTCTTTTATCAAGGTGAGTTTGAGAAATGATATGAGGCATGTGCCTTCAACTCTCTAGAAGAAAAGTATTACCATGTTTTACTGAATCTAAGACATTACTGTGTAGAAGGCTAGCATTTATTTTATGTATACTAAAAGAGAAAAAAAATGCTACTAATTGCTCTATGAACCATCATCAGACGTAAGACACGTTCTGGTTTCAGAGATATTGAAATGTGAAAATTCGCATCTCAGAATTGGTGAAATATGGTGCAAACATCCGAAGGCAGTCAGGAACCCAGCATGGAGCACGCGGCTCATCCGACAAGAGCAGGCACACAAGGCCCCCCTTCCACAAACGTCAGTGTCTTGGGGAGGGTCTGGGCACGAGGTCTGGGTTGCGGTCATCTGGCGTCAGCCAGGACTCGGGTTGGATTTGCACTGGGTAGTTGTTGGGCCACAAACCAGCTCTTTAACGCCTCCAAACTCAGTCTTCGGACAATAATAATAACTACTCACACTTATTTTAGAGTTGAAAGGATAATACAAGATAAAGTTTGTGACTTTCCCAGTCAAGAGTAAGCCCTCCCTCAATGGCAGCCCCTGGAATGAGGGTGGTGGTGATGGGGGCTGAGAATCTAGAGTCTTTTATGATTCTTTACTCAAGAAAAATCTTCACCATATTTCTCTCCCCTCTAAAAATTTCCTGATATTACTGAAGAAGCTGCAATTAGCCTTAGATGTCTATACTATCTACGTGCCCTAAATTTATAACATCTCACCTGAAAAACCGAGCTAGACCCGGGTAGTGACAAAATGACAGCTAAAACCCAGACCACCAGTCATATTTGTCAGACTCTTTCTAGATGCTAAAGCTCCTGTCCCCAGTGGGCTAGGATCCATCCCAGCAGTTTCTGGTGGTTTCCTCAGGCTAAATGATCTCCGTGGCCTAAATTCAGTCATTTCTCCTCTCTGGGCCACTTCTTCCTGTGCTAGGAAAAAAAAGATGGGTGCAAGTTAGCCCACCCAACCCCCTTCTGATTCCATATTCTGACTTTGAACTTCACTACCCTCTACTTCCACCCACCTTTCTAATTGGCCGCCTGGAAGGAGTTTAGGGGAGCTCTTCCGTCCAGGCGCTGAAGACCTACTCACGTCACCAATCTGCTCTGTGTTCTCCGACAGGATGGGAGTGGTGAGCAGCAAAAAGCAGGTCAAGGAGAAGAGTAAGGGCCGATGGAGCCCTGTGAAGGTCAGCACCTCAAACAGAGAGCCCCCACCGCTGCCACCCCTGGTGAGTGGAGGGGCAGGAGCGGGAGCACAGAGCATGTGCAGCTCCGTGGGGCCAGCTGCTTGTCTCTAGCCAGCCCCAGCACCATCTCTAGGTAATGCAGGGTTCCGACAAATAGGTCCCCACCCAGTTCATGTCCGTGTGGCAGTATAGTAGAATGTTTAACAGCCAGACTGCAAGAGTTTAAATCAATTAGCTGTGTCTTCAAAGCAGGTTACTTAACTCCCCTATGCCTCAGTTTCTGCATCTGCAAAATGGATTTGCTAAAAGTGCAACACTATGCCATGTAAATACAAGTCTGCGGTGCAATAACGTATTGCCTTTATCACAGGACTGGGCATGGTTAGCCCCCAGTAATTCTTGGCCGGTTTTCATTGTTCAAGGGCAACCTTGAAGAGGAAATGAAATCAAAGAGGTCATTTGAGAAAAGTTCATGGTGGGGAAAGGTCTAGGCATTTAGCAAATCTGCTGCCCCCATCCCTACCCAGAAGCTCCTGGAGATCATTGTCCCCTTCCTGGCATTGTGCCAGCATTCCAAAGTGCTTACTTCCCTGGGATGAGGTGTCCTAAGCCTGGAGGGTGCTTATACTCACCTCCCCAGCAGGCCTTCAAATGCTCACGGAGCCTGTCTCGAAGTCCTGGTCTGTTTACAAAGCATTGGCAATTCCCAAAGATGCAGTTTTAGATGACTGTTTATGTGCCCTCTGCCTACTCCCTTTTGGTTTGGGGCATTTGGAAGTCATGCCTGGATTGCCCTCTCCTGCTCTCTGTACCCCAACAGGCACTTCCAACTGGTCAACACTTTATTCCAACTGTGACCCGATGGGGGTGAGGATTGCTACTCCCATTTCTTAGATAAAGCAGGCATTTTATCTATCTGTGTCCCGACTTAGTGCAGGGCTTGGCACGTAACATTGAAACGTTTGTTCAGTGACTGGATAATAGAAAGGACAACTCGAACTTAGGTTGAATAATTTACCCAAAGTTACATGCTAATAAGTAGTAGAGCCTGGAATGTTTTTAACTTTTAAAAAGTCACTTAATCCATATTAATCATGGAAAAAATTATAAATACTTATTATCCCACTACCCAATGACGCTTGGAGATAGTGCTTCAGAGCTCCTGCCTCCAGACCCTTTTTCTCTGTGTTATTTATATCATGTGTTTATATTTTCAATGGAACCATACTATACATATCATTTTATAAAATGCTACTTCAAAATTGTGTTTAATAAATATAGAATGCGAAAAAAGGTGATTTATAACACATAGTCAAGTTGAAAGGAGAATAAAATGAACACCTAGTGCAGCCCTTCCCATCTTCAGAGGTAGAAAGTGACTCGCCCCACTGAAGCTCCCTACTGTCCCCCTCGTCCATCCCCCTCACCCCAGGCCCCACTATTCTGAGTGTGTTTATCATTCCTTAGCTTTTCTTTTCTTGTATTATCACATATGCATATATTCCTAAACACTATTTAGTTTAATTTCGCATGTTATGAACTTTAAATCAATTGACTCCAACAGTATGTATTCTTCCGAGACTCTGATTTCAGATCTACGCTGTGTGGTAAGCTTCATCCACGTGGATGCATGTAGCTATAGTTCATTAACTAGCAGGGTGCAGGGTTTCATCATGTGGCTATGCCCCAATTTATCTATTCTCCGATCATTGGTCATAAGAATGGTTTCTATCCTTTAACAATTTTTATATTTGAAAATTATTATTATTTCTGCTGGGAGCAGTCTTGTACATGTTTCCGGGTACACATGCGAAAAAGTTTCTCTGCAGGACATATATCTAGGAATATATTTGCTGAGTTTTAGGGTAAATATGCCGTTAAAACAGTTTTCTTTGAGAACAAATATCCTTTTGCACTTTCATCATTTAATGGCAGAGCCAGGATCTTAACCCAGATGATCTTTCCACAGTCATTCCACAGCCACCTCTTACGAAGTTGGAGCATCCCCACACACTCCTCCTCTAGCCGTGTGTCTATATGGTCAGGGCAAAGATGGCAGTTGGTTTGGGGTTGTGCGAGATGGCACTGGTACCTGAGGAGTTACAGCAGCAGGTATAGAATTTCCCTGGGCGACCTCCTGTGCCAACAGAGCAGCTCCGCACAGACCATGCAGCTGACACTCACAGCAGTCTTGCCTACCACCCGCCAGGCCCTGCTCAGGCTGTGGGGCGTTGAACTAACAGAGCACATGTGTTTCTGCTCCAGATCATGTTTAACCACCTGGCTCCTGCACCTCCCGACACATGCCCTGATCAAGGTAAGAAGGGGCTGCTTTGGAAGCTGAGAGTCCACAGGCCATCTCCCCAGGCCCTGGTTTCGTGCAGTTAGAACAGAGGCTCAGTTGGAAGCAGCTTCCTGCAGAAGATGGGGTGCAGGCCCTCTAGGGCCAGAGAGAAGAAGGTCCGGGGGAGGCTGAGCAAGGAGCAGCTAGGCATGTGGCCCAGCTTCGTCCCAGCTTCGCCTGCACTTGGGGGCCTCTCTAGGAACCAAGCACCCGTTCCTTTAGTGTGCCTGAGTCTGGGTGAGATTTTTCTTAAAAAGACTTTATAAACTATAAATGAGCACAAAAAGACAAGAGTTACAGTAAATACAAACAGCATCATCAAACGCAGGCTTTCAAGATCTATCTCCAATCTCAAAGGGTGAGGGTCCACGGCTCCTCTGTGCCTTCCCTCCCAGCCCTGGGTCTGTTCCATGCCCTGGGTCTGTTCCGTGCAGGCGACCATCTTGTTTCCTCCTTTCCCGGGCCCCTCTCAAAAGTCCCCTGCTGACCTTCTAACCACCCACACCACCCTCCCTCACCCCCGGTCTCCACTTCCACTTTGGTGGGCAGTACTGTGGAGGGAACATACTGAATGACCTCAGCCTTCCTGGGTCAGGACTCGGAACTTGGGAGGGGCTCACAGGATGGTGGCCTCAGAATTGGCTGGCAGGACAGCAGCACCCCCAGCATCCTCATAATTCACTTCCACATAGTCATTAATTCATTTACACAGTTTGCACTGAGCAGACGAGACCCAGAGCCCAGCTTTGTCCAAGGGCCTGGGAAGCTGTAAAATAAGTAAGACATGGCTCCTCCCCTGCAAGAGCTCAGAGTCTGTCAAACTCATGAGCAAAATGCTGGAACTGGGTTGGTGACCTCAGCTGTGTCTCTTATCCTGCTATAGATCACGATTAACAACCAAAGGAGGCCATCCTTCGCTTCCTACGGGGGCGGGAGTGGGGGCCCACATCTTTAGGAAGGAAACCCAGGGCATGGAAACAAACTAACTGCCTTTGGCATAAGAACTTGAATCTCAGAACCAGAGGGTTCTCCATCATCTATTGCAAATTCCCCTTCCCACAAAGGGATATGACTAGTCCAAGATCATGCCACACAGTAGTGACAAAGATAAGCCATCTACTCCTGGGGAAGTTTGGTGGTCTCCAGGTGACCTTTTCCAGGTGGGCCTTGGCTGTGTAGAAAAGTTCTCATAACTAGCAGAGGTCATTTGAAAGATGACATGACAAGCTCTAGACTCCTCTCTCCACCTCCGTTCTAGGGACCCCCAGCAAGTCAGGGGTACTGCCAGCCAGAAGCACCGTGATGGTGCCCTGGGCATGGTTACAGTTGCCATGTTCCCAGACCACGGCTCCCTTTGGAGTAGAAGCAGGAGGATACAGGTGGGGAAGGGGAAGAGAGAGGAAGCCTAAGTGCCCCCAAGGTGATAAGAGCTCAGGCAATTCTGACTCCCAAACTTGGGTCTGCAGCCACTGTGACCATGAAGTTGATCTCCCTAGACCTTCGGGCTATCAATCCCCTTACACAATAGCCCTGTCCAGGCCCTAGGGCTTCTGCGTGGGGTCCAGAAACAAATATGGGATGGACTCCGAGGGGCAGCTCATCCTTGTTCCCAGCAGCAAGGTCAGGAGGTCGGTCTGCCAGACAAAATTTGTCTCTTCTACATCAGTGAGTGAAAGGTTCACCGCGGCTTCCCCTCCGCCCCTGCCTCTTCCTGACCCGCTTAGTGATCAGAAGATGGCTCGTGGCACAGACTTACCCGTCCCCACCATTAGTCCAGCGGGCCTGAGCGGTGGCCTCTTTTTTCTTGTTCCCTCTAGAGGAGCATTTCGTGGTGGCGCTATATGACTACTCGGCAGTGAATGACCGTGACCTGCAGATGCTGAAGGGAGAGAAGCTGCAGATCCTAAAAGAGTGAGTTTCCAGAATGCCATGCCTCGGTCAGAGGTGTCTGCGGCTCCCTGTCACAGCAGGATCCAGCCCACCGGGCCATCTCCCTCACCCCACCCTGACGCCCTCCGTGGCTGCCTCCAGAATACCTTCTCCATTGTCCTGCCCCCAAGCCCTGCATCCAGCATTTTCTTAAACTCACTCAACCATCTTCCTTCCACCTGCCTTTCCAAAGACTTCCTGGTGAGATTGTTTCCTGCTCTGCCGTCAAAATCCTACTCTTCCTTCAAAGCCCACGTCTAATCTCACCTCCTCCGTGCAGCCCTGCTGTATCCGCCTAGCTGCTCCATCACCGCTCTGTGTCGAGTCAGTTCCGTCCGTATTTGTTTACCTTGCCAGACAAAATCTCACATCGGATTCTACTTGTGAAATCAGCTGTAGTTTTTTCCCCAGTGTTTCTTCTCCGAAACTCCTCCAGAATCTGTTCCCCAGCGTCTGGCTGGTCCTGTAGAGTCGGGAGGGGCTGCTTTTGTTCTTGAAGTTCTGCAAAGGCCTTGAGTCAAAAGCACAAAAACCCTGACCTTCTGACCATCCCTGGGCTGCCTGGTTCCTCCTTTCGCCAGCGGCCCTCCTCCTGTTTTTGTTTTTCCGTCCAGTCCCAACTCACTCGCTACATTCTAAAGATGTCCATTACTCGCTATAAGACAACTCGGCCTATTGGTTTGGCCAGGCTGTTCAGACACACTGTCCCTGGGAGGCTGTGCCGTCCCCCTCTCTCCCCTGGACCAGGAGCACTTTGGGTCTGTCAGATGCTGGATGAGTTAGAAATAACCCAGAGAGACCTTGTGTCTCTGAGCAACTCGCACAAGTTCCCTCTCATCCGCCAGACCGTCTGTCTGCCTCGTGGGGATGAGACCGTATTGGGGAGGGCTGTGAGCTGCCCCAGAAAGAGGCTCGTACGAGTCACTATGCCATTTCTGTTTTCCCTTCTCCCCTTAGAGCTGGAGACTGGTGGTTGGCCAAGTCTCTCGTCACAGGAAGAGAAGGCTACGTGCCCAGCAACTTTGTGGCCCGAGTAGAGACCCTGGAAGTGGAAAAGTAAGTGAACAGACAGAGGCCCCTCAAAGCAGAGGTGTGCTCACTGCTTCCGCCCTGCGGGCTGCTGTGCAGGGTGGGGCCAGACAGCGGCTAAGAAGTGAGCCTACGTGAACCCAGCACAGAGGGAGAAGGGACGGGGCAGGGAACTTAGCTGCTGGGAAAAGCTTGTGTACCGTCCCAGACAACATTTAAATTACTGTGAGGTACTGAGGGAGTCGCCCCTCTATGAGCACCTCTCTCTTTCTACTTGTAAAACAAGAACTGTCCCTTTCCTGGCTTGCCTGGATAGAAACGTCCCTAAAGTCCCATGGCCTTGCATGCTAACAGCGAGGCCTGTGATCAGCTGTATCCAGTGGACAGGACTCAGGGGCTTGGGCATCAGGGGACTCGCAGGATGGCAGCCTTGTTCAGCATTGGCTGGCAGGGCAGCAGCACCCTCAGCATCCTCATAACCCGTTTCTGCACAGCACCGAAAGGTCCGCCTCGTCCAGTCGGGGCCTCAGCCGTGAATTCTCTCACGCAGTCTGCACTGAGCAGACAGGACCCTGAGCTCGGCTCTGTCTAAGAGTGGGGAAGCTGTGAAATGAGTAAGACACGGCTCTTCCCCTGCAAGAGCTCAGAGTCTGTCAAACTCATGAGCAAAGTGACCTAACCTGGTGTCCCTCATCCAGTGATGGTCGCCCTTGGGAAGGTTCCCTGTGTGGCCCTCCAAGACCTGCGCTCTTCCCGGAAAAGCATGCATGACCATGGGACACGTCCACACTGACCAGTCCATGCTCAGGGA